GTATTGGTGACTCACCAGCTCTGAAACTGATGTCAAATATGATTGGCCACAATGGATATTATCCATGTTATTATTGTGATATCAAAGGAGTCCACATTCGGAAACCACGCAAAAGACAATATCCATACACACCAACTAGTAATTGCCGCACTGTGAACTCTTTTTATGTTCATTCGAGAGAAGCTCGATTGAAAAGTCAAAACATTTTCGGTCACCTTGGTATATCAATACTGGAAGATGTACTTGATGTTCCTCTACCACATGGAATAATAATAGATTATGCTCATGTGTCATTGTTAAGACATTTTCGCGATGTGATTCGAGTTGTTGCTTCATCACTTGCTCCCGCTGTACGTCAAAGAATCGATGATTCACTAATAAAACAAAGATTTCCTCATTTTTTTCATCGTAAGATGAGAGGAGTTCAAGATTTTTAGTTTATAAAAGCTATAGAACTAAAAAATTTACTTCTGTATGGATTTATACCGCATTTTATGAATTATTTAACAACTGATCAATTATCTTTTATATCATTATTTACAATTGGTATTCGTCTTCTTCATGCGGATAGTGTTTTCAATCATACTACAAGTGTCACGGCAAATAATTTATTCCGTCAATATTATGCCGATCATCATAAATATTAGGGGTGCATCAGCTCAAGCTCGAAAGTTCAGCTGAGCTGAGCGAAAAAGCTGTTTGAACGTTCATTTCGGTAGGAGCTGATTGATTTGAACAGCTCGTTCTAAAAGAGCTGATCTGATCAAACAGCTCGCTCTCTCTCAAGAACTGATTGGCATTATGCCAAAAACACTATCTTTGACATAATGCCAATCAGTTCTTGAGAGAGAGCGAGCTGTTTGATCAGATCAGCTCTTTTAGACAAGCTGTTCAAAAAGTTCAGTTCAGGAATGAGAGCTGTTCGATCAGATCAGCTCTTTTAAAAGGAGCTGTTCAAAACAATCAGCTCCTACCGAAATGAACTTTCGAGCAGTTCCTTCGCTCAGAGCTAGAGCTGAACTATTGCACCCCTAATAAATATTTCTCACACCTTGCAAATTTCGTTTTACATTTACATCAGCATTTTCAAGTACTTTATGATTGTCATGGTCCATTATCATCTATAAATACATTTGCACAGGAGGACTTCATAGGATATATTTCAAAAAAATAAAAACGGGACAACATCGTTCGATACAATTTTGGCCTATTATTATAACATTGATGTGTTATTAAAGAATTTAGACAATAAAACTATGCACAATGACAATGGTAATATTTGTTTTCTTATTCTGTTGAAAAATAACTTAGGTAAAAGATTACACCGATAGAAAAAAGTATTCGATTCTATAAATGAAGAAATCCGAAAGACTACGGATAATAACTTAAACAGCATTTTGTTTTATTCATAAACGTTTATCCTTTTTATTTAGGTCCATTGGACTTATTTTTAATAGAACGAAAACATGAGTTATTTAATGAATTAAATAACTATCATAAACAAAACTGTCTTTGTAGTGATTTTTACGAGTGTATTAAAACGTATCGTCGTTTTGTTTTATTTAACAAAATTTTTCACTCCTTGCAATATATTAAACGTAAAACTACAAATAGCTACTTCGTTCAATATTTGTATCGATCGGAACAACCAGAATTTGGCATTATCAAAGTATTTTTTCAACATCGGAGATATACTTATGCACTTATTCAAAATTTTCAAGTTGTCAATGCATTTAGTGAATATTTTAAGGAAAGCCAGTATTATGCATTACTGAAACAGTCTATAGATAAAATATACTTTGTTCTCAAGAGAACAAATAACAGTCGGATTGTTTTAGCTGATAAAATTCAACGACATTTGATAATATTTGAAAATTGTAAAGGAAAATGAACTATTCTTGCTACTCCGGTATCGTCGATGACGGAACACGACTAATAACATCTTGTTTTTATTCTTGAAATTTGTTTGCTATGTCACGTGTTTATCTACTTGTGGCTTATTTCTTAAGATTTTATACTTTTGTTTTAAGTGATTACATAAAGAGATAATGTCATTTAAACATCAGCATTTTATTTTATTTACTCCCCTAATTGATTCATTTTATTAGCAATGCTTTCCCTGAATTTGGTCTTTGTTACGTCTGACATCTTTATCTAGTTGGAGGTCAACACTTTCTTGTTTGTTTGTTTCCTCTCGTTCTTCTCTCCTTTTGTTTATTGTTATAAACAGTTATGTCTTATAAGTGAATAAAGAAGGCCCTGTGAACTCAGGACATAACAAGTGGTGACAGCGGTGTTCAAAAAAGAAATTTTTTTTTCTCTTTCTACAATTAGGGCATTTAATTACATGATAACATCCTTTTAAAAGGATTGTTTCTGTTATTACTTACATAGTGAACTGAAGTTTATCTCAAAGATCTTGGTACA